TGGCGGCCGATGCGGCGACGGAACTGGCGTGTTGCGCCCGAGTCTCGACCGTTTCACCTGTTGGCAATTATTTTTCACTTTTTTCCCGTGCCTCGCGCGACCGGTAAATGAACTGCGCGGTGGTTTTGAACCATCGTTGCCAGATAATACTGAAAAATAGCACGTTTCCCCAATTTAAACCTATTCCTAATATCGTCATTTTATCGTGTAATTTGGCAACCTTGCTTCGGGCCGAGCGAACGCCAACGAGACCCGTCAACTCAGCGGCCAAGCGCCGAGAAAAAATTCACATCATACTTGTTTCCAATGCGGATCCCGTGATTTCATAATTTTTTTTTGAAAAGCACAGCCGTATCTCGTTTTAACGTTTTTCGAAACAATGTTTTTTCCGGTAACAACGTTTATCTTTCTATATCCCGGAGAGTCGTTTCCCGTTGTAGTGCTTCTGTAAAGAACGTTTTTCCGGAAAAAATGTTTTACTTTCAATTCCCCCTCGAAAACATTTTTACGAGACACGATTATATTGAGAAAGTAATAAAAAGGAACTTTCGAAGTACTGTTTTTTTGTCAGGTACTTTTAGTCGGCTCCGCATGTATCTAATACAGTCGGTCGGTCAAATACAGTAGTCCCTGTGTCTCATACGGAGTGTCTACCGCCAGTAAAAACCGGAAAATAAGAGGGAATGCAATGTCATCAGGAAAATTTAAGGAAAATCTATCGTGGATCTGGATCAGGAAATGTTGAGCGGTTCAAGCATTCTTAAATCATTGATCCGATTCATCAAACATGTTAATTTTTTAAATCAAGCTATTGTTAATTTATACGCGCAAAAAATCAGGAAATCTCGTTTTAAATATTATGATAAGTTAGGAAAACATCACGAAATTCCACATTTAAATTTAGGATACACCTTGTAATCTCAAAACTTCAAAGGCTTCGACGTCGTGAAAATCCTCGAAGAGCCGCAGTGTTTATAATACCGGGACGTTTCTTTCATTTTCAGTATAAAAGACACAATGCCAGAACAGACCGAGAAACTCGAGAAGAAAGCATCGACCTCCGTGGCCGCCCTGGAGAACGACAAAGATGAATCGACAGACTCCGACTCAGACTCGATCCCAGAGCTGGAAGACCCAGGCACCGGCTCCGGCATCACCTCGGAAGCCCTCAGCAACGCCACAGGTCTCCCCATGGACAACGTAAGCAAAGCCAAACAGACGCGAAGCGAGAAGAAAGCGCGAAAGATTTTCTCCAAACTCGGACTCAAGCAGATCACCGGCGTCAACAGGGTGACGATCCGCAAGTCCAAGAACATCCTCTTCGTCATCAACAAGCCGGACGTCTTCAAGAACCCGGCTTCGGACACGTACATCGTCTTCGGCGAGGCCAAGATCGAGGACCTATCGCAGCAGGCCCAGGTGGCCGCCGCCGAGAAGTTCAAGACCGCCGACGTCAGCGGGCTCAGCTCGGACGTCCTGTCGGCCGCCAAGTCGGTGCCGCCCATACAAGAGGAGTCTGAGGACGAGGAGGTCGACGAGAGTGGACTCGACATGAAGGACATCGACCTGGTCATGCAACAAGCCAACGTCAACCGCCGGCGAGCCGTCAAAGCCCTGCACAAAAACAACAACGACATCGTCAACGCCATCATGGATCTCACCATGTAGTCCCCGGCCAAGTTTCCTCCTCGTACCATACCCTTTCATTCATCTCACATGTGTTTCTTTCTTTGTTATTCACCCGACCTAAATTGTTTCATACTGAATAAAAAATCTCGAAAACCCAACGCACCTCTGTTTTTTAGGATAACCCTCCAGGATTTCTCATCAGGATTTGATGTGAGATTTCATTTTCTTCTAGCTTGCATTCCACAAAATTGTAGTAATAAATTGGTGTTTCTTGGACGAACGAACGTAACCCCATTTCAAGGTTGCAAAATTGACTCAAACGATTCAATTTTTTTTAGGAATGTACCTGAACAATTTTCCCGGTGCGTTTGATTTTTGCATGAGACCCAAAGAAAAATCACTGAAATTTTCAGTTAGAAATGCCCAAGATTCTCCTGATAAAAATGCAAATTGCGAGATGTTTGGCAGTATTGAAACTTAAGTTACGTTCTTTCGTGAAGGAAACGATAAATTGAGGGGCTTGGAGTACAAGGCACATAAGTGTTTCTAAACAAATTGAAATATCAGTAAGTTCAACTAAAAACAATTCTTGAAATATATTCTGTGAAAAACACCGTACAGTTCATCTTGTAGGAATCAATATGTGTCTTTAAAATGACTTCTTGTCACAAGGTTTTATGTAATTTTGAAACTATATACACGTATTTTTCGAAATACCGAAAACTGCACTTATGCGCCTTGTCTCAAATCCTCTCAATTATTATAATACAGGATGACAAATTCCTAAGAAGTCAGGGAATACATGGAAAAGTCATGAAATTTCTGCGGAATCTAGACAATCCTGGTAAAAATCGGCGGTAAGAGCTGCGTTTCAAAATACCATAGGAATTCTTATAGCCGGCTAAAGAAGGCTACAGAAAATCATATAGCTGGCTGTAGAATGCGGAGAAAATCATACGGCCGGGCCATACGAAGCGATAAAATATTATGCAGCCAGGCTATAGTTCCTATCGCCGGGCTTTACACTGTATCGCCTGGCTGTTGCTTTTTCGCCATTAAGTTTGATATGGAACCACCTTAATATTTACAAAACACACGTTATATTTTCCTTTAATACATATTTTTTTTCATCAATTAAAACGAGAATAATCCATACATGATGTGCAAACATTTCAAAATCATGAGTTGAATAACGCTGACTCCGCCTGATTAAATGTTAGAGCCTAACACAAAGCGGAGCGGCGACGCACTGGCGCCTACAAACCTAACAGGGATACTTCACGCACATAGGCGTAGCTAGGCCATTTTGCTGGGGGGGGCCTGGCCCCCCACCACCGGGGGGTCTGGGGGGTATGGAATACCCCCCAGGTCAGCAGGGGGTCCGGGGGGCCTCCCCCGGAAAATTTTTGAAATTTTAACTCTATTTGAGCGCATCTCGAGGCACTTGTGGCGTTAATCTTCCTTCAATTTCTGCATAAAATTCACCCAGTTTTATGCATTTTAAGGTTAAAATACTTTGAAATTGTTGCATTCAACAGGTTATTCCATTTATTTTCTCAGAGACTTACCGTTAAAGATGGTGTTTTTGCACCATCCAGAATTTCTGGGGGGGGCCAGATGATACTATTTCCAATTTTGGGGGGGGGGCCAGGCCCCCCCTGGCCCCCCCCTTCCTACGCCACTGTTCACGCATTGCGCAACGCGTGAAGTATCCCTGTTAGGTTTGTAGGCGCCAATGCGTGTTTCGCGCTGGCTGCCTGCCTGCCACGGCGCTTTTCACGACCATTCCAAGCGACTATTTCACACCAGAGGTATTGAACAGTATCATACGAAACTGAAGGCGCTCTAATATATTAGGAATGGCAGGCATCCATCAAAAGTACGGAGCTTTCCTCGCAAAATAAATCAAGATACTACGGCCCAAAAAGAGAGCAGTGATCCAAAAACTCACTAAGTCCTAGCATCCGTAATTAGTGACGTTTAGCATACACTTTATCGCCTGGCTGTGAGTTGCTTGATCACCATCAGCTACAAAAGGCCATAAGAAATTGTTTAGCCGGCTTTAGAAGCTATTGGAAATCTTACAGCCGGCCGTAGGTCTATGGTATTTTGGAACACAGATTCTACTGCCAATTTACCAGGGAATTTTCTTTCACTTAAAACATAGCATCAATTTCAAAACATTGCACTTTAAAAATTTTTCCATAAAGTAAATTTTATGAGAAATTATACGTAAATTGAAGGAAAAAGTTAACGAAAGTCATCCAGGAAAACATTGAAATTTTTACTTAGAAATATGCTCAAGTAAGTTGCTGTAAAACAGTATCCGAGGAAAAATTTTGTAGTTCCTCCGACGTGGGCGCATCTGAATCTCCACGTCAGCCCTGGAGAACTTGGAGTTAAATGTAGGTATAACAGAACTCGGTCCAAAATAGAGTTACGCCCATACGTTAGAGGGGCGGCGATTTTGTAGCGAGGAAACGTAGTTAAGGACCTAAGTACGAGAGACAATGAAATGTTCGATGCAGTTTTCCTAAACGTTCATCTAAAAAATACATTTAAAAAGAAACGTATAAATACGTACGTTAAAAACAAGTTATTTATCTTAAAAATACAAAGGAAAAATAAGCAAAAAACTCAGAAGTTCTAGAGCCTCTATGTCGCTACTTCCATTGGAAAGACAACTGAGGAAGCCCATTCTACTTAAAAGTGTCCACCGTACCGCCATATTGCCGTGCAAGGAAAAACGCCGTATGTGCCCTCAGACGTTGCCAAGTTTCCGTTGACAAATCGCGAATTCTTGGGAAAATTTGTAAATATTCTTCTCCCAATTTTTCAGAGAGTTTCATTCGGAATCGGATCTAAGGTATCTGAATATTTCAAGGGAAAATATTCACAACTTCCCTCAAAAATTAAATCTTTTCTGAGAGGAAACTAGGCAACGTTCAAATGCTCATACGACGTTTTTCCTCAGCACAGCAGCATATGTGAACGCACTGTCCCTCGAGGTGCAGTGAAAATTATTCTCGAGTACCTTTTTTGAGGAAAACGAGTCCTGATTTCAATTCATTCGAAATATGACACCCCCCTTCCCACCCTACCCCCATTGCACCCGCGTGACAACGCAACATCAGCTAGTGATAAGCGGATTTTCTTGGCGAGGAAGGGAATAAATCGTCGCTCCTCTGAAGAAAGGACGTATCCCGATCTCTGCATGAGCCCCAGATAGCATAGAGTTATACCGAGTGCAGGGCTCACCTGGGAATTGAGATACGCCTTTACGTCAGAGGAGCGACGAAATGAGCCCCTGTTAAATGACACGGAGAGAAGGAACGACAGGTTATAAAAGGGAACGAAAGCAGACACGTCTTTTCAAATATATTGAATGCTCTCCGTTTTTTATTACTTATTATAAATCTTTTGAAAACGTTCTTTTGAATCCCTCAACTCGCGCAATAGCTTTCACTTGCGCTTTACATTATACTTTTCGTTCCTCCTCCTTCGGTTCATTTTTTGTCGGACGTCGATTTGTGCGTTTAAGAATCGCCCGACTCCTCTTCCAGCCTGACGAGCAGCCCCGTTGTTGAATCGGTCCACGTTAAAACGTAACTATTCTAATTTTTAATGACCTCCGAGGTCCATAAGAATGCTAATATTCTGGGGTTTTTCAAATCATGACCCAGTTCCATTTCAACACCGACCTGTTTGTTGTCGTAATTTTTCCCTAGATATTTAATCCAGGCTTAATTTTAAAAATGTATAGAATGTAGTCATATGCTTGAGATCCTTTTATCAATGATAAAAATAGGACATTCGTCGCACAGAGGTTATTGTCTCTTTCCTCCCTTTTTTTTGTCATTCGAGGAAGTTTTTTCTCACGATTTCATGACATGCCGTGATAAGAATGTCTCAAACAAAGACAATACCTACATTCGGACTTCATTTTGCAATTTGGACCCTGGTAAAAATTGGCGATATGAGCTGCGTTTCAAAATACCATAGGAATTTTTATAGCCGGCTAAAGAAAGCTACAGAAAATCATACATATAGCTGGCTGTAGAATGCAGAGAAAATCATACGGCCGGGCTGTACGAAGCTATAAAAAAGTATGCAGCCAGGCTACAGTTCCTATCGCCGGGCTTTGCACCTTATCGCATGGCTGTTGCTTTTTCGCCATCGATTATAAAAGGCCATACGAAGTTGTGTAGAAATTCCTGTGCTTCGGAAATCATTAAGTTAGATACGGAACCACCTTAATATTTACAAAACACACATTATATTTTCCTTTAATACATATTTTTTTCATCAATAAAATGTGAATAATCGATACAGGATGAGTTGAATAACGCTGACTCCGCCAGATTGAATATTAGAGCCTAACACAAAGCGGAGCGGCGACGTACTGGTGCCTACAAACCTAACTGGGATACTTCACGCATTGCGCAACGCGTGAGGTATCCCTGTTAGGTTTGTAGGCGCCAATGCGTGTTACGCGCTGGCTGCTCGCCTGCCGCACCGCAGCGTGCCACGGCGCTTGAAGCAACTATTTCACACCAGCCAGAGGTTTTGCACAGTATCATACGAGACTGAAGGCGCTCTAATATATTAGGAATGGCAGGCATCCATCAAAAGTACGGAGCTTTCCTCGCAAAATAAATCTAGATACTACGGCTCAAAAAGAGAGAAGTGGTCCAAAAACTCACTAAGTCCTAGCATTCGTAATTAGTAACGTTTAGCATACACTTCATCGCCTGGCTGTTGCTTAATTGCCATCGGCTATAAAAGGCTATAAGAAATTGTGTAGCCGGCTATAGAAGCTATTGGAAATCTTACAGTCGGCTGTAGGTCTATGGTATTTTGGAACACAGATTCTACTGCCAATTTTTACCAGGGGAACAATCATTTCCGGCTTATCAGTAAAAATACTATTTACTACTTAAGACTACATAGGGAAACTAATAGTTTATACTTAGTTTATCAACTGAACCAGTAATTAGAACTCCTTAGCTAAAAAGATGTCTCACTTGGCGTGTCAGTCATGACACGCCGTCTAATAGTTTGGATAAATTTAAGCGGAACTAACCTAACTGTAATGCTCGTTGCCTAATGCTCTCATATTACATTTTTTAAAAGAGACCTAAACTACCTAACGCCGTTT